TAAGGCCAATGCTTGGCTGCCTTATTCCTAGCTTTGGAAAGGCACTTTTGATTGGGAATAAGAGGGAGGGGGATCCTCAGACCAGAGACTAAAATAGGGTTTGGCTATGGACAGCAGGGAAAAAGAAGTTGGGGCCGGGAGTGGGCTGAAGAGAGGGCCCCACCACCGCTCCACAGAAGGGCAGTGACCGTCCTCCAGATGGGCTTCTCGCTGCACCAGGGCCTGCCCCTCCACGGGGGGTGCAAGCAAGGAAAGCGTGGAGCCTCAGGAAGCGCACTTCATCTTGAAGCATGAATCAGCCCTCAGAAGCCCAGAAAAGATTCCTCTCCTTCGTGGCCTTCTCCTCTTTGGCGGGCATCCCTAGCTCCTCGCGGCTGGTGTTCAGGCCTTGCGAGGACTCAGGATGAGTGACCCTTCTGACAGAAATGAACCATTCCAGGAACTCACGCGATGGGACAGCTCTTAAAAATGGAAAGGAAGCAATGAGTGGATGAATCAGCTAGGAGGCACTGGTACTCAAGTCCACCCACAGAAGCAGTGAGAAATGGCTAGTGCATCTGCTTGCAAGGCTCCTGGCACGGAAAGGAATGGCAGAAAGTGTGCTTTCTGATCAGCCTCCCAATGTATTAGATCTTCCTATACTAAGTTAGAATTTGACCATGTAGGTCTCTCTCTCTCTCTCTCTCTTTTAACTGCCATGCTTCTGGAGGATGGAGCAGCAGGAAAGAACAATCCGAGGACCCAAGTCCTGCCTGTGTAGACTGCGCGCCCTAATTTCAATGCTGTCCTTGCTACAATACCTGGCACACTGGGAGCCAAGAGCCCTGAAAAGACATCAAACTCCCTGTTGGGAGGCCAGCAGAGTAAAGGATAACGGGGAGCTTGATGTTCTGAAACTGAACTTGGCAATGACTTTGGTTACTCCTCAAATTGCCACACTGGATCATAACTGACCCCAAAGGTGGGAGCACCAACTTCTGTGGAAGGTGGAAGGTGGCCTTTCTGAGCTGTCCTTCAAAGGAGCAGCAGGCCAGTATCACTCTGCGGCCTTGACACCACTAAATCTCCGCAGAGGGGAACTGATGTGAAAATGATGAGCCTTGAGGACAGCCTTGGGGTGGAGGAGAGTGGAATCCACACCTGCAGGACAACGTGAGCACAGGGAAGGGAGCGAGGCCTGCTTTCTATCTGGAGATGTGATAGATCACTTGTTCAGCTTCGGTTCTATCTATGGATGTGAGCGGCAGGGTGAAAACCACACCTTTCCTTAAGTCACAGCAGCTCGGAGCAGCCCGCAGCTCAAAGTCTGAGGCAAACATACAGCTGAAACCAAGCACACAGGTGCCTACATTCTATCCGCGCCTCTTTGACTCATAAGGACAATAGTGCAACCCCTGGATCTCTTCCAGTTCCTGAGTCTAAACATTCTTTTGTTGTTGTTGTTCCGTTACAGTTGTCTCCATTTTCCCCCAGTGCTCTCCCCTGCCCTATTGAGTCTAAATATTCTTCAGCCCCAGGAGAGGAAAACTTCCCAACACTGACATTCATTCAAACCACAGCCAGTGTACTCTCAGCGTGACTCAGTTTCCCTCAAGGGGAATCATAACCCAAAGTGCCACCTCCTAGACCTTCCCCAGAAATCAGCGTACCCTTTACTTCTCAGACACAAAAGCCTCTGATGTCTGAGAGGTGGGGACCGAGAAAGCAAAAGACCTGACCAGAAAGGCTAAATTTCTTCCCGTTCAGAACATCAGAATCCCTTCCAACATTCCCTCCCTAGCCAGGTGTTGCCACAAAGGGAGCTGAGAGTTTGCCAAGTAAGACATTACCCACATCTTAAAAGGAATGTTCCTGCAAAAATAAAAATAAAAATAAATAAAACCCAAACCGCCTCGTCTGTAAATTGGAGGAGAAAAGTAAAGAGATACAAATTTGAAAAGAGCCAGGCGGTCAGAGGGTTAGATTTCCCTTCCCTCAAGGACAGCCAGACCTTACATGGTTGCTGATAAGATGGAGCAGCTTCACTTTACTGCCCTCACCCAGATCTCAACTTATAACATCAGTGTCCCCAACATCACCAGCGACCCTTCTCAGTCAAAGCTTCATGACTGTCCCCGATGTGCATGCTGGACGCCGTCTGCCTGGAGAAATCCTAGGAGGACGGCGCTCTAAGACATCTGGAGAGCACAGGCAGACACAGAATCACCTGCTGCCCATGTGCCACAGCACGTGCCTTTCTGATGAAAAACTATACTTTTAAAACTGACACTGCGCTTTCCCTATCCCAAAGCAGTAACTTAGCCCTTTCCCACTGAAAAAAAAAAAAAAAAGACACCCTTCCCTTCAGAAACGATATGTAAATCAGATACAAGTAAAACAAACACAGTATAAGGCTCCCTAACTCATTTAACATCTTTCGTGCAAGGGCCTGAGGCCCCTACGTACTTAGGAAATGTAAAATGTCATGCCTCATCACTTTAAAAGAGGGAGCATCGTTTTCCCACGTTACAGTCAGTACATGTGAGGAGCAATCCGTGAAAAATCCCCTTCACTCACCATTGGGGGTGGAGAGGCCAGGACTCTGCATCGGCAGCCTCAGCTTTGAATAAATAGCTTGGTAAACCCAATGGGGGCTGAGCGATGCCCAGCCTGCCATAGAGGGGGGAAAGGGCCCTAGAAATGGGGCTGGTGGTGCCCTCTGGTCCAGAGCCTACATCAGACTCCAGCCGCAAGTTCCAGAACCACAGAGTGATAGCTCAGGGAACTTCTTTTTCTCCTCCTGCCCCTTAGGGGTCATGAAACATGCCTCATTCCTGTACCTTTAAGTGAGCGAAGTCAACACTAAATCAGCTTGTCATTTCCCTACAAGGACCAAATATTGGGCTGGCCAAAAAGTTTGTTTAGTTTTTTTTGTATGATGGCTCTAGTAGCGCTTTTTGTTTTTTAACTTGATTCGAAATAATTTTGTTAGATTAGATTGTGACAGTTGTTATATCAATGTGCATTTTTTAAAAAGCATCAAAACTGGTGAATTTTTGTGCAGCCATTTTAATATCAAAGATAGAAGAAGAGTTGCAACATTTTTGAGACATTATACTTTATTATTTGTAGAAAGGTAAAAATACAACTGAAATGCAAAAAAAATGATTTATGCAGTGTGTAGAGAAGGTGCTGTGACTGATCGAATGTGTCAAAGTGGTTTGTGAAGTTTCTTGGTACTACTGACATTTTGGCCAAATAATTCTTTTGCTGTGGGGTGGTCTTGTGCATTGGAAGATGTTTAGCAGCACCCCTGGCCTCTACCCACTAGAAAGCAATAGCAGGAGATAGCCGACATACTCGAAATATCCAAATCAATAAAGTTATTGGTGAAAATGGAAAATGTGTCTTTTATTTTACGGGAAAAAAAACTAAAGGAATTTTTTTTTTTGGCCAATCCAATAAATTGGCCCAGCCCCCACTGTCTCCCCAGTTACCCATCTCTGTCCCCAGAGACAAAGCCTTGCAGAGGGCCAAGCCTCTCTCTTCTGAGCCCACCCCTCCATGCCTTGCTAGACCAAGATGTCCTCCTGCAGACCCACCCCTCACCCAGTCACTTGTATCATTAGCTCATTCTCAGGAGCAAGCAGGAGAGTCACCCAGCAAATCGGCTGCCCCTCCCACCCCTGCCCTGTACCTTCTGGCTCCACCAGCAAGCAGATGTAGCTCTGCCTTGCGGCCAGGGGAAAAACCCACTCTCAAAGGGCTGTCCTGCCACAGGACAGAAGCTTGTGGTCACAACGCAAGTGGCTTGGAGCTGGAGTTAACTCATTTCTGAAGACACAAGGTTGAGACCTGGGACCTGGAACCTGGCCCACTTGTTTTCTAGAGAGAAAGTCACTGTACCACCTCCAGGGCAAGCCATTCAGCCTTTCCCTTTATCCATCTTCTTGGTTACAGCAAAGACAGAACCCAGGCCTCCTGATGACCCAAGTCTGAGGTGCAGAATAACAGCTCATTTGTTACTAAGTGTGAGAACACAGCAGAATTGATGAGCAGAGACCCCACAGTTACACTGGCAGAGCTCCCCCAGGGCTCTGCTTTTCTCTTCCAGTCGGGCATGCAGCAGCGTTTGAACAACCTGCCACCCTAGGCTCTCTCTGTACCTGGGGCAACTAAACATCCCTCACCCCTGCCCAAGGAAAACAAGGGGAAAGAAGGAGACCTAGTCCTGAGAAGGAAGGGTAGGGGTCAGTTTCTGACTGGGCATACACAGAAAGAAAGGCAGGAAGACACCTGGGAAAGAGGCCAAGGCCTCTCTGCCCTTGCGGGCAACAGGGATGAACTGGTCCTCGTCTCAGAGCCCTGCATCTCCCACCGAGGACTGGCGATAAGAGAAGGCAGCTGGAGAGCTGGCGGCCAGGGGGTGGGCCGGGCCAAGGGTGTGCAGTCCACCAGCGCCTAGTTTTTCCACGCATCCCCAAGAGAAGGCAGCAGAGTCTTACTAGCAGAACGGTTCCCTCCCCATATGGAAGGTCCGCAGCCTAAAACTCCGGAGGGTCTGTGGTTTCTACTCTGAAGCCCTGGCTCCCCAGACTGCCACCCCTCTTAGCTCTCCAGAAGCGGCCTGGGAGGGGGGACGGCCTCGCCGCCTGTTGGAAAGGGGGTGTCAACCTTCCACTGCCGGAGATCCTCGGCTGGCCCCTTCCCTTAGCATCTCCCCAGTGCCCTTTGTTTTCAGGCGGGGAAAGTTGCCAACACGCCCCCCTGTGTGCCCATCCCCCTCAGGGAACCCAAGCCTGGGCGCACCCTCTAATCTGCGGCTAGCTCTTTAGCTGGGGCCGCCACTCCGAAACCGAAAGCAAAGAGGAAGCAGGAGGGGGCAGCGCCCCCAGCCCGGTTTCTCGATCTTCCCCATCACCGTATCATCGCCCGCACCCCCTGCACTGGCGCTGACCGCCCTGCGCGGCCGCCCCCCTGGGTGGTGGATCGGCCTCTCTGCGGGCATCGGGGGCACCTACCAGTGCGGGGCTGGGGCCGCGGGCAGGGGTAGGGGCAGGGGCAGGGCTGGGCCGGCTGCCTGCCGGGTGCAGGTGCGATCAGGAGCGTCGTTTCGCCGGCTCGCTCCCGCTCCTCCTCCCGCGCCGGGACTCCGGGCGCTCTCCTGCGCCGCCTGCTCCCCGCCCCCACGCCCTGCGTTGGGACTCCCCCCCGTGCAGAGTTGCCGCGGTGCCTCCCCCACGCCGCCCCGGCCTCCCGCTGCGAGCCTAGTCCCGCATTGTGTGTTGGCGCCTGCCACAGCGGTGCGGGGCTGGGGGTCTGCAGCCGCCGCTGCCCGGGCCAAACGGAGCCCCTGGCGGCGGCGGCACTCACCCATAGTACGGATGCGAGGCAAACTGCACATGCTCGAGTCTGACAGGCGCCCTGCCTCCGGCACCACTTAACTCCTTGCTCTCCTGATCGTCAGCTGGGTGCGCTACCCCCGCTGCGCAGGTGGCTGCAGTGCAAAGCTTCTTGGTCCTCTTGGCCCACGCCCCCCGCCACCCCGCCAGCATCTGAGATGTCTGCAGGAGACAGGAGGAGAGGACTAGCCTGGCTTGTAGAGTTGTAGGGCACTGCGTGTACAAAATCCACTGTGGGTATCTGCAGGCCCCTACTAACCAAAGGCCATGGGCCACATGGAGTTGCAGGCCCACTGTGTGCCAGCTTTGTGTTCTGTGCAGTCCATCCATTGAAACAGCCCTGCAAGTTTGTTTTATTAGCCCCATTTTCGAGATGGAGAAACTAAGGCCTATGGAAAGGAAGTTAAGGAATTTGCCTAAGGCAAGCCTGAACCTCCAAAGCCTGCAATTTGGTTTATACAGCAAAGATTAAACAGAAGATATTCTTTCTGAGGTCAATCTAGATACTTCTATTGGAAGGTGTAAGATACTGGATGTCATCTGGAAAGCCTGGAGATTCTGGAATGTGGATGGTAGGGTTACCCTAACAGAAGGCCCTGACTCCAGACAGGCCACTCAAATGGGTTCTGGGTCCTGCAGAAAAGCTGAGCAAGGAGGGGAACATGATTTAACCTAAGGAACCCAATCCCGGCTGCTTGCACTGGGGGCTGCAGCCAGGAGAAAGGGACATTTTAAAATTTTTACATGCCTCCTGGAACATCCTTTTGTAAATAATCTGTCCAGAGGAAGCACCCTTTCTAATTCTTGCACAAACCTGACGTGTGCCTAGGCCTGAACTGCAAGGGCTGGTGACTGCTTCTGTCCTAGCTTTTCCCCTTTTTATCACATGCCATGGTGACAAAGAGTTCTCAGAAGTCTGAGGGAGCACGGAGTCTTCTAAGAAAAGGAATTTGAGGTTCGTCCAGCTGGTCTTGCCCCACTCTGGGGGAGAAGCCAGTCTGCTTTCCTACTGTCTGAACCTAATCCATTCTGTGGCTTCCCCCTGTTGCCTGATGGGAACTTGGGTCTTCCATCAACCTCCTGCCCCTGGCCGGGATGTTCAAAGGTGCATCCCAACCTAGAGCAATGTGGACAAGGAGTTCTAAGCCCATGCCATACACACCTGGTTCTTGGCTGACTGCATCACTTTCCACGCGGAAAGCCCAAGGGGCAGAAAGAGTTATGCTGGGTTTCTCAGACCAGTGTGGGAAGTACACAGCTATGTGGTGTCAGTGTCAAGAGCTCTTGGCTTCCCTGAGTTAGTTCCTACTCTGTAAAGTGAAGATAATATTGCCTATTTCATAAGTGTATGTTGATGACTCAGAAACATAATGCATAGGCTTTTGATAACAGAACAGTGTTTTCTGCTGGGATTCCTCCAAGAGTAAGTAGTAAAGAGAAAGGGCCAAGGCTACAGTGAGGAAGAGAGCTGTCCCTAGAACACTGTCAAAGAAGCAGGACACAGCCACCTCTGAGGAACACCTGGCAAGAAGTGGCTTTAGTGAATCTAAGAGCAAAGCCCACCTGCTGAAGAACCCCCCCCCCTGCTGTGCCCCTGGCCTTGGAGGCCCCATGCTCCCACTCTAGTTCTCAGTCTGTGACTGGCAGCGGACTTGGCTCCCTCCTGGGCTCTGGGAGGCAGTGTTGCATAGAGAAAAGCATCGTGAGCTGGGAAGGCAGAAGATCCGAATTCAGGGTGACTTCTCCAGGAGGCGTGGTGCCTGGCACCTGCAGTGTTTTAGGGCTTACGAAAATGTTTGAATTTCTTCTAAAATCAGAGACCAAAGACTAAACTTCGAAGTTTAGGACAATATTTTATATGTAATATGTATTTCATATATAATAAGTATTTTCATCTTTAGCACAGAAGCCATAGCATACACAAGCCAAGGTGCCAGATGCAGAATCAGAAAGAAGGAGGAGTGAGGGACGGAGGCACAAGACGCGGCATCAGCGAGTCTCCGCTTTACCCAGCTCTCCCAGGGCCTTACCTCCATGACCTGGGTTTTCCTCATTCCTAAATTAGGAATCCTTTCTTCCTAACCAAAATGTATATAATGCCTTACAATGGACATATGGTCTCTCTTTGGGTATGATAGCTATTTTTACCCCCATTTTATAAAAGAAGAAATCAAGACTCAGAGAGATTATATGTTTTACTCAAGATTGTATTTCTAGCAAAGGCAAAATGCAGTTCAAACTCAGGTCTTCTGACACCCCACGCAAGGTCCTTTCCAGCTGCACCTAGACTTCAAACAAGACCCAGTGTGTACAGGCCAGAGCAGTCCGCTGCAGACGCAGACCTAAAAATGCATTGAGTGGCTCTCCGGTTTTTCACCCAAAGAAGGCTGAGATGTGCATACAGTGTTGTGTGAATGGGTGAGGAGGGGACCCTGGGAGCAGTAGGCACAGTAGTAGTGGTTTGATGATTCGAATACAGAGTCAGGTTGGAGGGCCATGGGACAAGCTAAGCCCCAGAGGATGCCAGCCCCTCCTTTGTCTTATCAAAGCAACACGGATTTGGTGCAGACTCCGCATCCTCACCAGAAGACTTAAGGCAGTCTGTTTAACCATGCTGAGCCTACTCTCTCATCTACATAATGCAAACGGCCATAACACCCAAGCCCATGACTGCCGTGAGCACAAATAAGATGATCCGTGTAAGGTATTTAGCACAGTGCCAGGCGTGTAGACATAGTTAAAAGTCTGTCCCTGTCATAGTAGGCAGTTGGTGGCAGTTCTCTCCACATCTCTCTCCCATCACCAAGCAGGAAAAGAGAGAGACCTTCAAATGCCTTTCGTCTCCAATGTGCCTTGTATACACAGTAGGCTCTTAGTCATGTTTTCTGAAAGACAAGAACTTCCCTGCCCTTCTATAAAGCAAATCATCCATGAAGGGGTTGCTCTTGTCTGCTATACATGATATTCTTGATGGTTTTCTGTATACTTGTTAGTGCAGATTGGCTCCCTGGGGCTTGCCCTCTGCCCATAAGTCAGGAGAGATGTGGCCCATGAGGGTGATTTCAGTGGAGGGGCAGGGTCCACAGCCAGATGAGGAAGAACCTGGTAGGGAGCCAGAGCATGGGAATTAGAGGTCAGGAGAAAACTGTACAATCTGTCCCAGATGCTAGAAAAGAAAGAGGGAAGTGAGGTAGGAGCAGAGGAAGCGCTGGCGTCAATCCTGAGCTTGAAATCATTTGAGCCAGCTTTGCAGGAAAACAGGCTGGGTGAGAGAGAAAAGGGGGAACCCCGGAGAGTCAATGCTCCCCAACGTGCACATGGAAATCTCTCTGTTTCCCTGAACGTCATCAAGAAACTTACTTGTTGTGGACAAGGGCAACCCCTTTATGGATGGAGTGCTTTTTAGAATGGCAGGAAAGTTCTCGTTTTTCAAAAAATATGGGCATAGGGCAAAGGGGGACAAAACGAGGGACATCCGCAATAGTGTTGACGATTGAGAGAGAGAGAGAGGGAGAGGGTCTTGGCAGTAAGAGAGGGAGTCAAGGTAATTTGCTGGAGTTTGAAAACGGGGGAGTATCTTTGTAACAGCCCCTTCTTGAAACAGGAAGGAAAGAGGCTATGGAATAGGAACCAGTTTTCATTTAGAATTCTTTAGTTGCAAGCAACAGAAGCCAGCTTTAGCTATCCTAAATCTAAAAGGAATTTATTGGAAGGACGTGATCAGGTGGCTTACAGATCTTAATGGGATGCTGGCAAATGCACTTGAAAACATTAGGACCAGGGCAGCTTTCGAGCCCAGATAATGGGAAGTATTTGAAAGTCCCCTCAGGGCTCTTCTCCCAGGACAACTTCAATCTTTTTATCACTTCTGCTCAAGTGTAACTGAGTCAAATTTGCCTAAGTTGAGTCACACTTCCGCCTCTTGCCAGAGAAGGGCCAGCAGAGTACTCTGATGTAAGTTCTACCAACACCCCAGAGCATGAGAGGTGAGGAAAAAAAGAGAAATTAAAGTGTTGTTACCCAAAGGAAGAGAAAGGCTGCCTGGTGGCCCACAAAAATGAATGTTCACAACTTCGGGGGAGCGGGCAGCACAGGACACGCCCCTTTCAGGAAATGTTTTATATGTAATATGTATTTCATATATATGAAAGGTTCTTGGTTATGAGAGGAGGCAAAGGGAAAAGCACATAGGCCTCAAGAAAGCAGCAGGAAGCTCTGAAAGGCACCAGGACGGAAAGTGCAGCTGGCCGAGCAAAGCCGCCACCGGCACTGGGGTTGGCACCGAGCTGCAGGCAGACAGGCATTTTAGGGACTCGGAGCTGGCCCAGAAACGGTGAACTGTGATAAGGAAAGTGAGTGCAGAAGGTCGTCAAGGATGTCCCCAAATGTCTATAAATTGCCTGAGAGGGTTGGAAAGGGGTACCAGTGGAGGGGGAAAGAGGAATTAGACCCCCGGAGACAAGGTCAACTTGACCGCAGCTTTTTCAGAAGTTTTGCTGTCCATCTGTCCATGTGGGACAGGGTTATGTACTTTCCCAGAGCTCTCGAAAGAATGTGAGTGTTACCGTGTCGGGGATATTGAAAAGTCATGTCCTCTCTCTTTTTTTAGTCATCAGAATGAAAATGCAGTGGAGAAGTTTTACGTGGTATCTGCAAACACCCTGAGCCTAAAAATGAAGAACTCACCAGCCTGCGATAACGTGACTTCATCCAGCTGTAACTCCGAGGAGAGCTTTCTTGATGCGCTGGAGTCTGAATGAGAAGAGGACGCTCCTGCAAAACAGCAGCAACTTTAATAAACAGACGGGTTCAATTGCTGAGAGCCAGCCCTTCGCCCCAACGGCAGCCCAGGCCAGCCAGTCTCCCCTGCACCGAAAGGATGTCCCCTCACTGGTCCTCTCTGATGGTGACAGCTCCCAGCCTTGGTCACTTGGCTCCTCTGGGAAAAAAATTCCTTG